TTTTTTTTTTTTAACTTCTAATATTGAAAAGTTGGTTCTCAGGCACCTCTAGAAAATTTTCACCAAATTTGAGCTCTTAATATTGATAGGAAGCTTATCCGCATCACAGTTTTATATTTTTTGTTAGTCTCTTATAAAAAAGATCATATATCTCACTATTGATCAATTTTTTAATCAAATTTTTATACATATTTTTGTAGGAAATTGAATGATCTACAAAAAAGATCTGATATGTATAAGCGATTACATTGACCATTTCAAAGATATCCGAGATCAAAGTTTAAAAAATTTAATGTGGTAGGAAATTTAAAAAAAAAATTATTTTTGATAAATTTTTTGAACTTTGATCTCGGATATCTTTGAAATGGTTAATGTAATCCTTACACATATTGGACCTTTTTTGTAGATCATTCAATTTTCTACAAAAATGTGTATAAAGATTTGATTAAAAAATTGATCAATAGTGAGATATGATCTTTTTTATAAGAGACTAACAAAAAATATAAAACTGTGATGAGCATAAGCTTCCTATCAATATTAAGAGCTCAAATTTGGTGAGCATTTTCTAGAGGTGCCTGAGAACCAACTTTTCAATGTAAGAAGTTAAAAAAAAAATAATCGATTTTTTTTGACCCACCCTAATGGATATATCCATTTAGATTTAGTATCATACATTTAGAATAATTTAAATCCTAAGGGATAATTATTAAATTAGGAAAAACAAAAATATTCAGTAAATTCAAACGTGCTTCAAAATTTTTTATTTTCTCATTTAATTATTACGTTCTTTATCTATTTTTATATAGACAGTAATTAAACTACGATTTAGTGAAAACAATCTTTATTATCTGAAAAAAATTAAGGGCTGAACATCAGACGTGATTATTAAAATAATTCAAAGTTTTAAAGATTCAAACAAATAATAAATGTTGGAAAATAAAAGTACACAAAATTTTTTTTATTAAAAATGATCTTTATATTTATTTACATGTAGATCTTTCAACAATTTTAATATTAATATTATTATTATAATTTTAATAGTAATATTTTAATTTATAATATAATAATATATATATTTATAATTATATAATATATACGTAATTTTAATGGCCTCATGCTTTGGGTCATGTATTCCTCAAAAAGAACAAGTTCTACGTAGTTTCAATTACCTCAAACATTATTTCTATTTTCTATATGCATAAGTGCGTTTTGACTTTTATTTATCTCTTGGATGGTTTTGCTTGTCGAGTTTGAGTAATATAGTTTTTTTAACTTTTTTTTTCTATCATATATCTTTACGAATGATTTATTTAGCATCACACCAAAAATTTTCACTCTCAACGTAATCCATACGCTTTATCTTTTTAATTTATGAATTTTCAATTCTTTCTTAAAGTTCAAACTCGAACAACCGACGTCTCGAGAATTAAAATGTTTCTCTTTAAAAAACCAACACATAAATACTATCAATAAAATTGTTTCTTAAAAAAACTACGAGTAATTGGTAAAAACAAAATTTTTTTTAAATAAGTAAATTTTTGTACTAACCAAAAATCTATTCAATGTAAATTTTTCTTTTAACTTAAAGCAAGACAATTATACTCTAAAAATGTTTAAAATAATCGACGTCGAAATTGTTATCATTTATAATTGTATTAATTTATTATTAAACTAATTTTGATAAAATAATTTTTTCCAACTATTTTGACACTTATTTTTTTATAGGAATACGTAACGATTAACTGTTTGATATTATTTATAATTTCAATAAATATATTTCTAAAAACGATAATGTCAATTTAATATCAAGTCTCCTGTACATTGGCAATTTTATAAAATACACAAACTGAAATAACATTTTTAATTCATATACTGTTAAAACAACATTATTTAAACAAATAATTTCCACAAACATTCCATCATCATCATCATAATCATAATGTCTTATGTAAAATGATAAAAAAAAATCACAAATTACCAGCATGCAAGACTGTGTACATAAGATAAGAAAATATTACAATAATAATCATAATAATAATGATAACAACAACTATCAATTAGGCGCATATTGTCGTAAATAATGACATCTATTAATTTATATAATTTAATATTTTTTTCTCCACTTGTTTCTTATCTACAAATCTATAGAAAAACATTTCTTCATTCACAATAAATAATGAATTATTAATTATAATTACAAACGAATGAGATAATTTAAACAAACATGTATCTATTTCATGTAATTCTAATAAATAATTTTAACATCTTTATTTTCTTTGGATTAAAGCATTTTCGAGATTCATAATTATGCCAGTTTGCACGACCTCAGATATGTACACAGATTATTTTTTTTTCTGTATTAATATCAATAACTATAATGGGAATTATTTATTTTAAAACCGATAAAATTTATCAATTACAAGTACATTAATAAAATAAAAATTAATACTGTTAAAGGTATCTCAAGAAGTCGGTTAATCTCATATGACAATGGTCCCAAATATTAAAAAGTAGTTATATCATTTAAATACATAATTATAATTATATCATGGCATTTAAAAGCTTTTTTATATGTACCTCTAGTAAAATCGCAAAATTTTTCTATTTTTTTGTTATAGTACTTTTTATTAATTCTTAAATTTTTTTTAATATACTTTTAAAACATTTCTATTATTTTAGTTAATTTACTCTTCGAAATAAAAGTCGACAAGAAATAACTCAACTACTTGACAAAGATACATAGTAGTAATCTATTCGTCATTATTTTATGTAACTTCTTTATAAGAAATTTTTATGATTTTACTTTTTTTGTTTTGGCTTGGGTGTAAACAGAACCTGTTAGATATTCTAATGTAATTTATCCTGAATTTTTACAAAACATTTAATATTTTTGTAAATTTAATACTTAAATAAAGATCAGTATTTATCGAAAAAGAATAACATACTGGACTATATTTTCTAGTGCAATATGGATAATTATGACTTATGAAGAATATAATTTATGATCTACGTGATATTTATACTTTAGTCATTTTACTCGAATTTTTTTTTTTTATTTAGGTTTCTTCAATGATCAATGTATATAGTTTAAAGTTTAGACAATAATAACCATTTCGTTTTAGAATTTGTAATTTCTCTTAAATTGAAACGTTTTAGACAATTTTGAAATTTTAAAAACTTGGACAAGTTTTAGAAATATTAAAATTTTTGCCGATATTTCTAGAATTAAAATATAACTGAAGTTTTCATATAATTCGGGATATTTTTATAAATTTTGAAACAAACAAAAATTGCTTTGAAAATTAATTTCATTTCGAATTTTCAATTTCGTTTTGAAAATTTAAAAAATGTATCCAAAAAATTTGAACAAATGGTTCAAATATTTTTAGAATTTTGAAAATATTATGATTATTCGACAAAATTTTGAAACAGTCCAAAACACGAAATTGATGGTGGCCCCTCATTATTTCTCAGCCAATAATGTCTTGGCAAAAATATCTCGACATTCTTATCTCAGACAATAATATCTCATGACAAAAAGATCTCTCGTCAAAAACATCTCCACCAAAAAGATCTCAACCGTAAACATCTCATAAATTAATCTCGATCGTGTTAAAATCTTGTTAAAAAGGCGCAACACGATTACGAGCGTTAGTAATGGCCTATTTTAGAGTAAACATACATTAAAACCTTGTTAAAAAGGCGCAACACGATTACGAGCGTTAGTATTGGCCTATTTAAGAGTAAACACTAATCTTGTTGAAAAGGCGCAACACGATTACGGATGTTAGTGTTGGCCTATTTTAGAGTAAACACACATTATAATCTTGTTAAAAAGGTGCAACACAATTACTGGCGTTAGTGTTGGCCTATTTTAGAGTAAACACACATACAAATTTTAAGTGATGTATCGTTGTGGATGATCGGAAGTTGACGTCCAGGGGCGAAGCCTCGGTGGGGGTTGGGGAGCGAAGCCCCCCACTAATAAAAATGATTTAATTAAGTTGATTAACGAAATTTTATCATTGTAAATTATCGAAGTAGTAAATCTAAATAAATTAATCAATATGTGGTGAGTGATGTCTCGTTGTGCGTGACCGGAAGTTGGGGTCCAGGGGCGAAGCCCTCCATTAATAAAAATAATTTAATTAAGTTGATTAACGAAATTTTATCATTGCAATGTTTGTTGATGATGATAATGAGGAGGTTTTGATGATCGAGAATTATTTTGTATGAGATCTTTTTGCCTAGAGATCTTTTTGTCATGAGATCTTTTTAGTAGAGATGATTTTGGTGGAGATGTTTTTGGCTAGAGGTCTTTTTGTCATGAGATGTTTTTGTCTGAGATTAATAATAGTAATTATAACTATATATTTATAATTACATATATATACTCACGTATAACTATGATTATGATTGTATAGTAGATGTACGGGGTGAAAAATCTTATTAAAGCGTATTGGCCTGGTATGATTTAATTTTGAAGCTAAATATATATTTATGTATAATGAAAATAATAGTTATCATTTATAGTCAATAAATTTGAAATATTGGTTAGTAATCTCTTCGTTGTACAAAAATAACAAAATCCGTTTAAAATGACATATATGAAATAGGATTTACACGAGTGATTATCGATTAAAAGAATCGTACATCGTAATTTTTAATTTATATATGGGAGACAAAGATTGTCATTGGATATATTGTTTCACGTAGAGCAGAAAATTTGGGGATTACATAACGATGACTGAGTGCTAATAATCAAATATTTATAATTTATTGCTCTCAATAGTATGCAATTTTTAACAATGCAACCGTATTCTTAATTACCATGAATTTTTCATTACGAACTTACCTTTTTTGCATTTCTTGGTAAAAATGAAATTAAATACATAGTAAATTAATTCTCACAAAAAATTTTTAAATGAATAATAAAAAAAATAGTCAATCGTTAAAATGGACCGAAATTATTTGAGATAGATTGTAGAACTATAATATTATGAACTCTCTATAAATTGTACCGTTTCACAGAATACTATTATTGTTTAGCTGCATTAAAATATCGATCGTACTAAGCGATATTTAATTTTATTAAACATAATGATAATAATAATATATTTCCAATAACTGGTTAATAGTCATTATTGAAACCATGCTCGTTTGTAAATAATTGTTATAATAACTGACAAGAGTATTTAAGCTATTGTTATGTCTTATGTAATTGAAAAAATTTATAAAATAACATGTATCTAGTATAAAAAAAATAAAATCCTTTACATTTCATCTATGCGTTCATCTATATTAGCTCAGAGATTTCACACACAATTCTGAGTTTAGGCGTTTGAGTGTGACTAGATTCGTTTCTGAACACTGAGAAATGTACTTTTATGGTTGTTTTTATTTTACTTTTTCTATAATCTGCTTTTTATTTGTTTAAGTAGTTTTTTTTTGGTGATTTTCGTCGCCTATCTCGATGTATTATAATTATGTTTATTTATTGAATGCTATACACCATTATTCATGTATAAATATTTATGTAACATTGTATGAAGTTTGTATCTTTGGCAAACATTACTATGTTATTTATTCATTCGGTCCATTCTACGTTGAATTTAAATAAATACTCACAAAATTATCTTTCCTTGTTAATTCTTCATTTTTGTTTGTTTTTCCTTCCAATGAATAAATAAATAAATAAATAATTAATTAAATAATCGATAAAAGTATAATTAATTTAAAAAGACATTTCAGTAGATACATTAATGCCCATTTTCTGCTCACAAATGTCCGTAGCCGTAAACGGCAACCTCACATGATAAATTTAATGAAAAGCACATGTGAGTAGAGACAGGAGCGACTTTACTCTTGTCCACCAGATCGCAACGACTGATAATAATAAAATATTAATAATAAATAATAATATTTACCAATTTACCAGTTGTTATTTCGATTAGTGAACAATAGAGAGAGTGAGGTCGCTCGAGACTGCCACTAAGACTTCCAGACTCTCAATTTTCTCAACGATACCTTCTTTAAGTAGAGGGCAGCATTAAGAATTTCCGATTCCCTAGACTCTTCCCCGTCCGAATGAACTTCACGCCTGCGTCCTGACATAAGGAGCCGATGTCTCAGGCCCCGTGAGCTCGGATCAGAAAGAGCCTCGGCTACCGGAACTTTTTCTTTGCTAGAACCAGGCAGCGACACTGATCTACCTACTGAAAATCCTTTACTTATTCTATCTAAGGTCGCCGGGAGTAAGTGCTTCCGAGGAATAGCCTGCTCCCTTTCCCGCAAAATAAACCTTCCGAGTGTTTTCCAGAACGCTTGGGTGCTATAAACATTTTCTTCGTCCCTCAAGAGCCTCAGCTGACGATTTCCACTTCCGACGGCGCCAGCACCGCCCCACTCAAGCTCCTCGACAAGAGCAAACTTCGAGGGATCCTCCATCCTTCTGGCTTTAACAAGAGCTTGCGCGAGTACATCCTGAGCGGAACTCGTTACAGGAACACGTAGAATGGCATACGGTATTTCCGGTGATACATTGTAGATACAAACAAGGAAAGTGTCCGCCTCATCCCAGATGTGCATAGATTGATCGCGCTCGCTGGTATCAGTTAATTTTGAATGTCCCGCAGTGCTTCTGATAGACGCCAGCCATGCTCTGCTACTCGGATCGTTACCGACTCTTTTCAACAAGAACCGACCTTGACCTTTCCACAAAGCTTGAGCTTGAAGTGGATGTTCGAATGAATCTAGCACTCTCTGAGTTGGTAGTTCTTCACGATCTTTTTTTTCCCATCCACGCGACACCTCCTCAACTAGAATATACTCATCAACGTGCTCCGCGGATATTCCCGCTTTTTGAAGCGCCTGAAGCATCACTTCTTGAGTGGTACTCTCCTGTGTCACCTTCAGAATAGTATAAGGCTCATCTGGAATTACGTCGTAAACCATCAGGAAAAACATCCGCCGCTTCAATGTTACTCCACCGAGACCCGGATCAACGGTGCTCAATTTCTCGGGGGTTTTCCCCGACGTAGGGCGCTTGCACTCCTTGTTGTGGTCCCGGCAGCAGGTGTTATAGTCCAAGCTCTCCTCTTCCATTCGCGAGTAAATGAAAAGCGTAGAAAGAGCAAGAGGCTTATTTTTGCAGGAGCGAAGGCGCACATGACGATAACCCGGTTTGAGACACTTTAGGGGCAAAACTCGTTGAGCTATCAAGTGGTGGGAGTTTGCCTCGACAATTCCGAACCTTAAGAATGCCAAGTCGCGAAACATTACTTGAAAACAGAATTTTTCGTTCCAAATTGGGTTCAGGGCGTTGTTCTGAACAACTTTTGTTTTATGCTTGGCACAATCAATTGGTATTCCGACTAACTCAATTTCGACGTAGGTACTAGCGACGAGATTTGTCGATGAGATGTATTGCCCCGAGACAACAGAGAGAGTTAGGTGAATAGAATGAAGCCCATCAAACTCCTTGTCCCAGGGATTGAATCTTCGGTACATCATGTGTCCTTTGTCCCACATAACCGATGGTTTCCTTACGTAACCGCATTGCCCGTTTTGTTCAAACATTGCGGCATTCAGATGTGAGGCGGCATCGTCTGTCTGATAATTTAGTGCCACCATCTGAATTCCAAACGCCCAAAATATTACGGGGTTGAAGTTTGACGAGTCAATTCGCATTCCTGCGGGATAGGTGCGGATTAGTTGGGTTTCCGCGTGGGCCACTACGCCCAGAGGCTGCTTTCTACAAATTTTTTTGGCAGCGCTCTCGTTTAACGACGAGCACTGGAAGCAAGCGGGCACACCCCGGGTTGGTCGGAAAAAGGCGTCAATGTTACTGCCACCGCTGGCAACAGACACCGAAGTTGACAGTGATTGCGGTGAACCTGTCGAAGTAGAAGCTATTCCTCCGGTCCCGATCCCCGCGATACTGTGTCTTTGTACTGTACCAGTGTGACTCTGATGACGCGGCTTTACCGCCGATGGCACTGTGTTAGATGGTGTCAGATTTAATCCTCGGAACTTGATGGCTTGGAGATATACTACTAAATCAGATAATTCTTTGGCTATTTGACTGCTCTGCTTCTGAGATTTATCGTCCACGGCGGGGTCTGATTTCAATCGACCGTGAGACATTTGACTACTTCCTAAGTATCTCTCGTAACTTGAAATCGAATTGTCTGTAATATTATACAAGCACTTTTATTATTTAAGCATTTCATAAAATAATATATGATTTTATTTTTATTTATCTGATAAAATTAGACGACTTTAATTATTCAGTGCATTGATATTTATACATTCATTAACTGAAATACATGACCTGGATGTTAATATAAAAATACTTTAACTTTTTAAACAGTTTACAATAGAATACTCTGATATTAAAATTCTAGGTAAAAAATCAATGAAAAGATTTCTCGACAATTTTATAAAGTATTTCCTACGATAAAAAAACTAAAAAAAAAAGTGTGTCAGCTCCGACGCACGACTGGAGTTTACTCCTTACGAACGATTATAAAATAAATAGATTAGTTAATAAGGGTAAATGAATGTATTTCTTATATTACTTAGAGTATGCATGTCACATCTATAGATTGATTTTTATTCATTGAGTAATTTTCTCAATTTTGAAATAAATATCAATTGATATAAATTTATATTTATATCAATTATAAATAAAATATAAAATTTACGATAAAACCTCCGCAACATTTACGATTTTCAATTTTACGGAAATTCAATATTTAAAATAATAATTAAATGAGTTTGTTTTATCACCAATGCGATCACTATTTTTCGACTAGTT